TTTCCCGATATATCTTTCTTTCTGACTGGCCTCTTTCTGAATACTAAGTACCCTGAAAAGAGTCAGTATTTTTCCAATTAGGTTTTTTGTTTTTCTAATCTTACCTCATTGTAAGTATGTATGTATGTATGTATGTATGTATGTATGTATGTATGTATGTATTTATTTATTTATGAGAGTGAGTGAGAGAACGTACACATGAGTGAGCACAAGCAAGGGAGAAGAGGGAGAGAAAGAATCTTAAGAAATCTCCACAGCTCAGCACAGAGCCTGATGTGGGGCTCGAGCTCATGGTCATGAGATCATGATCTGAGCTGAAATCGCAAGTTGGATTTTAACTGACTGAGCCACCCAGGCACTCCTCCAATTAGACTTAGGTCTAGGGGAGCCTGGTAGCTCAGTCAGTTAAGCATCTGACTTTGGCTCAGGTCATGATCTCATGGCTCATGAGTTCAAGCCCCACATTCTGCTCTCAACATGAAGCCCATTTGGGATCCTCTGTCTCCTTCTCTCTGCCCCTCCCCCACATGTTCTCCAGCTCTGTCTCAAAAGTAATAAACATTAATTTTGTTTGTTTTAAATAAGACTTGGCTCTAACTGCTGGACTATCCTAAAAGGCGTGAACCTAGAAGGTGTCCCAACGCCAACTGGGTATGTAGGACATACCCTATCTCTATGGGTATGTAGGACAATGTGGTCTCTCTCCCTAGCTGTGTCCTTTGCTGAGGGCTCTTGAGATCCTCTCTGGTATCCAGTTCACCTCTATTCTTCCAACTTCAAAGGCGGGGAAGACTCAGTCTACTTATTTAACAACTTCTTTGCCTTCAGGGGTTCAAAAGCCCCAGCACACATAAGAAGGAGATGTGACCTTTCCTCTCTTGAGAACTACATACATCTCTTGAGTGGCAGGCTCTTCCCAGTTTTTGCTCCTGAATTCCTCTAGTACAGGCATAAATTGCTTTGTTGTGCTTTGAACGTTTGTGGCAACCTGTTGAGCAAGTCTACTGTTATCATTTTTCAAACAGCATTTGTTCACTTTGTGTCTGTGTTACATTTTGGTAATTTGTGCGATATTTCAATCTTTTGTATTATTATATTTGTTATGATGATCTTTGATCAGTGACTTTTAAAGTCTGAACCCATTCTTACTCCTTCCTCCCCGCACATTCTAGGTATATGGGGTCATATTTTACATTGTTTTATTCTGCGAATCCTTGACTGATTTTTATGGGTATGTTACTTTTATTGCTATTGTGTTTTTACTTCTCATATTTTTTACTTATTCTTTCCTTCCCAAAGAGTGTCCTTTAATATTTCTTGTAGGGCTGGTTTAATGGTTACGAACGCCTTTTGTTTTTGTCTATATGAGAAAGTCTTTTTCTCTCCTTCTATTCTGAATGATAGCCTTGCTGGTGAGAGTATTCTTGGCTGCACATTTTATCCTTTCAGCACTTTGAATATACGATGCCACTCCATACTGGTCTGCAAAGTTTCTGCTGAATAATCTGCATATAGCATTGTGGGTTTTTTCTTATATGGAACTGTTTTCTTTTCTCTTGCTGCTTTTAAAATATTTTCTTTATCGGGATGGCTAGATGGCTCAGATGGATAAGCGAACGACTCTTGATTTTGGTCAGGTCATGATCTCACGGTCATGAGACTGAGCCCCACGTTGGGCTCCATGCTGGGCGGGAAGCCTGCTTAAGATTTTTTCTCTTTCCTTCTCTGCCCCTTTCCTGCTCATGCTCTCTCTCTCTCTCAAAAGATTGTTTTTTCTTTATAACTACTTTTGCCATTTTAATTACTATGTGTCTTGGTGTGGATCTCCTTGGGTTGATTTCTGGGGGAGATCTCTGTGCTTCCTGGATCTGAATATCTGTTTCCTTCCCTAGACAAGGGAAGTTTTCAGCTACAATTTCTTCAAATAAATTTTCTGCTCCCTTTTCTCTCTCTCCTTCTTGTTGGATCTGTATAACATGAATGTTCTTACAACTTGATGGAGTCACTGAGTTCCCTAAGTCTATTCTCACTTTGCATAATTCTTTTTTATATCATTGTTTAGCCTGATGGCTTTCCTTTACTCTGTCTTCCAGGTCATTAATTCCTTTGCTTCCTCTAGTCTATTCATTCCATTAAGTGCATTTTAAATTTCACTGTGTTCTTCATCTCTGATTCTTTTTTATCTTTGTGTTAAGGGTCTCACTGATGTTCTTCACTCCTTTCTCAAGTCCAGTAAGTATCTTTATGACCATTACTTTAAATTCTCTATTAGGCATACTACTTATATCTGTTTCACTTTGGTCTCTTTCACTGGGGACATATTCCTCAGTCTCATTTTGTCTAACTCTGTATCTGTTTCTGTGTGTTAGGAAAGTCAGCTATGTCTCTTGCTCTTCAAAGTAATGGCATTATGACGAAGCATTCCTGCAGTGCCCTACAGTACAGTGTCCCCTGTTCACCAGGACCTGGCGCTTCAGGTATGTTTCTTATATGTGTTGTGTGTGTCCTATTGTGTCCTAGGTACCTTTTCCTTCAGTGCAGTCATCTGCAGAAGCTCTCTTGGCCTACTGTGGGCAGTGTTTGGTCTCCAGCCAGGGTAGAGGTGTGTTTTAACAAGGTATGCACAGTCTGCTTGCAAAATGAGACCTGCTGCCACTGCTTCTCTGCCAAGTGTGCATGGGCGGGGCACTCAGCCTTAACAAGGCACCCCTCGGCCTTCTGCAGGGCCTGCTACAGCTGCTGTCAGAGTCGCTGCTGCAGAGACAGAGGCCCTGCAAAATGCAGGGATGGGGAGATACAGTGCTGGTGAGGTCTGCACTGATTTTGATGTTATTATTGTAATTGTTATGAAACACACCTGCAGAAGGCAGCAAACGATTAACGTATATGTTCTGACTGTACCACTGGCTATTATTCCCCCATCTCTCTTCCTCTCCTCAGGCTTCTCTGTTCTGTGAGACACAACAATAATGAAATTAGACCAATCAGTAACCCTACAGTGAATGCCCTTTGAAGGTTCAAGTGAAAGGAAGAGTCGCATGACTCTCACTTTAAATCAAATGCTAGAAATGATTAAGCTTTGCACTGAAGGCATGTTGAAAGCCAAGACAGGCCGAATGCTAGGCTTCTTGTGCCAAACAGCCCAGTCATAAGTGCGAAGGAAATTAAAAGTGCTACTCTGGTGAACACCTGAATGATAAGGAAGTAAAACAGCTTATTGCTGATACGGAGAAAGTTTTAGTGATCTAGATAGAAGATCAAACCAACCATCACATTCTCTTAAGGCAAAGTCTAATCCAGATCAAGACGTTAACTCTCTTTAATTCTATGGCTGACAGGTGAGGAAGCTGCAGAAGAAAAGTCTGAAGCTAGCAGAGGTTAGTTCATGAGGTCTGAGGAAAGAAGCTGTCTCTATAACATAAAAGTGCAAGGCAAAATAGCAAGTTATCCAGAAGATCTAGCTAAGATAATTAATGAAGGTGCTGGCTAAATAGCAGGTTTTCAATGTAGACCAAACATCCTTCTATTAGAAGAAGACACCACCTAAGACCTTCAAAGCCTCAAAGGACAGGCTTACTCTCTTTGAAAGGACTACTGTAGCTGGTGACTTGGTGGAAGCCAATGCTCACTGACCATTCTGAAAATCCTAGGGCCCTTAAGAATTATGCTAAATCATCTCTGCCTTGCTCTAAAAATAGAACAACAAAGCTTGGATGACAGTACATCTGCTAACAACATGGTTTATTGAATATTTTAACCCCATTGTTGAGACCAACTGTTCAGAAAAAAAGATTACTCTCAAAATATCACTGTTTATGGACAATGCACTTGGTCCATCTGATGGAGATGTACCATGAGATTAATGTTCTCATGCTTGCTAACACAACATCCATACTGCAACGCATGGATCAAGAAGTCATTTCAAGTTTTAATGTTTAAGAAACTGAAACAGTCTGGAACTGTGCACCCGTGGGATCTCCTAGGGATGCCTATGCTAGTGTCCAACTGCCAATGCAGTTGTTGCAGAAAGCCTTGCATTGGTTTTCTAGTGAGAGAATGGCCTTAAATGCACCCAAGGCCTTGGCATTGGAGACACTAGTTACCTGCTCAATATTCATTCTCCCTCTCTTTCTTAAACTCCAATTCTGTTTGAGGAGACAATGCTGAACAGGTAAACATACTCACTTCCTCAGATTCCCTTGCAACTATGGATAACATTTTGACTCTCTTCTAGCCAGTGGCTTCAGGAGATTCTGAGAAAACTACTGTTTTCCTGATAAAACGGGAGAGATTCTGCCAAAAGACAGTTTTAGTTGTTGCTTTGCTTTTTTACTCTTTTTTTTCCTGTCTGGAACATAGACTGGAAGCTAGGAAGTAGAGCCCACATTCCCCAATGATGAGGATGAAAGCCATATCCAAAGGTGGGTGGAAGAAGCCAGAGGGAGACTTTATCATTGATTTTCTCAAACAGCTGCACCAGCCTAGTTCCAGATTTCTTGTTATGAAAAAAATAAACTCCTATTTAGTTTAGATGTTGTAAGGGGTCTCTGATACATGCAGCCAAATCGATTCTGACAAAGTTCTCACTTATGCCCAGTTGCTCCTAGCTTTTAGCAGCAATTTAAATCAGGAATGGCAAAGAGCCTGGGGAGGAAGGGAGCTGCATTTAGATTCCATGTTCCCTGAAAGCTCCTGACACAGAAATGTTGAGTGAAGTTGATCTTTAACATTCATTCATTTACTAGGCATACATTAAGTGCCAACTCTGTGCCAGTCACTGAAGCGAGTGCTGGAAACAAAACAAAAGTCTCAACCCTGGCATTTCTTCATGAAAATTTCCTTTGTTGATACAGGCTGTTTTCTTACCTCACTCCCATGGTCCTAAGACCATGGTTTGGGGAGAGTACTATAATGCCACAGTGTCTTCCTACCGTTTTCAACATTATAGAAGGAAACAAACACGTTAATTTCTAACTCAGAGCAGAGGTTCCTTCAGGTACCTTCAAGTGCATCATCCTCCAGGTCTGCCAGAGTTGGTGCATTAGGGAGTGAATACACAGAAGACTGGTTGAGTTGAGTCAGTTTTGAGATGCTGTTAATAACCATACTGCCCAGTGGAATGGTGTGCTCTAGGGAAACATTAGCAAAGAGAAAAAGCCTTGTTACCATATCATCATAAGGATTTCTGCTTGAGTAACTTAAGCCCAACTGTTGTTTGATTCCAGGGCTGAGGAATCTGATGGAAAGGAAGGAAGAGGATCAGTGGACTATATGCCCCAGAGCAACAACCTTTCATGCAAAAAAAAAAAAAAAAAAAAAAAAAAAAAAAAAAGGGCAACAAATCATGGGTGAAGAGACCCCCCACTCCACACATTGGAACAGAGTATTAAAGGAATTTACAAAGGGGACGCTCAAAAATAACTCGGAAATCTGGGCTAGGGACCCTGTTTGAAGAGCAAAGGACCTAAAAAGGTTTTTGCTCTCTTTCCCTTGCATGAAGGGTTATACTTCTCTTCTTCTAAGCTTTCCACAATGGAAGATAGCTCTCTATGTGTCATTTTTCCCTACTTATTGCAGAGAACTTGGTGGCGTTCTTGCCGGATTCTAGTCTTCTGGGATTAGGCTGTAAATAAGAAACAGGCAAACACATAGCTCCCTTAACAATTATACAGCATCCTCGTCATATAGGATACTAGACACTGGATGGCACATGAAGACCTAGAAATCTGACTGCTGAAAAAACTGAAGGCAGTAAAACAGCTGGTATACAGACCACGGAAACTCCAAGCAGGACAGACCAAGAGGTAAACCTCAGAAGCTGCCTCTGCTGCCTTCTCTGTTGTTGACTTTAGCTCTCCAAGAAAGGACGGAAATGGGGACAGAACTGGGGATCGCATAAAACGACTAGGATTAGGAGAATTAAATTAGATATTAGAATAATGAACAGGGACTTGTTCATGAAAACTTCACGAAACTTTTGTCCAAGGGCACTTGTGAAGGGGCTAGTCTGTCTTCATGATGTGGGCAAGGGAAAATCTGTCCGTCGGTCTAGTCTCTGTCCATTCTCTCTCTTACTCCAGACTGCAAAGGCCATGGCCATGCTACAAAGAAGGGCTCTGATGCTGGTGACAAGAATGGTTTCAGGCCAATGGAGGAAATAATTCAAAGCTAAAAGTTCATGTTAACTGCTCAATAATAAGCTATAAAAAGTGCCTCTGGTCAGGTGAGAGAGAGAGAAAGAGAGAGAGATGACTTTGAGAATCACCAAAAGGAACTCAGGAGGTGGAGGAAACGAAGGACAGAAGTCAGGTCTGCAGATCCGCTGTGCAATAAAAATTCTGCATTCTTAGTGACGGCACGGGGAGGTGCAGGATGCTTCCTGAGGATGAAAGTAGATATGGGGAGGTGGTTGGAGTCCAGAGGCAATAAAGGCCTCTTCTGGCCAGGAAAGTCTGTGGAAGGAATGGCTAGAACAGGGTTTCCTGGCTTATGAAATTTGACAGGAGTCGTCACTTAACGTGCATCATCGCCTTTCATGTGTACGTAGTATCTGTACTACTAAGTTATGAGTTCCCACATCTACAACACGAATGTCTGTCCTAGACACATTTAATACTTAGGATGACAACTAGAGAAGTAAGGTGGTTGGTAACTTATGCTGGGGAGGTGTGGAGAGAAGTTTAAGATCTGGTGTGAGGGACACAGCTCTTGAGATCATTGCCAATCTGGGAATGAAGGAAATTGCCCCTCTTATTTCATCTTTTTTTTTTTTTTGAGAGGGAAGGAGGAGGGAGAGAATCTTAAGTAATGTGCTGAGATCATTACCTGAGCTGAGATTTAAAGTTGGACATTTAACCGACTGAGCCACCCATGTACCCCAGGGAGTTGCCCATCTTAGGACCATCAGTGGCTGTTCCTTCCCTCACTCTGGAGGAGACTGCTCTGAGGTGCAGCCTTCAGAGACCTTACGTTTGAAGTAGTACAAGAATTTTGTGTAGTGATTAATGTTTTGCACCTGCTCGTACCAAAAGGAAGCCTCTAGATTGAGTTTCCAGTTAAGTACCAGCTAGACTCTGGCATAGTGGGTGGTGGGTGAAACGATGATATGTATTGGCTTTGGGAGAGAATCCTAGATTCTGGACATCACACTTTCAGAGAACTCCCGAAAACTATCGAGATACCCAATCTCTCAGCCAGGGAAATGTTACCCTATAGCAAGAAGGTTGTCTCACCATCCAGCTTTACACTCCATGTCATGTGGAAGCCGTTGGTCATCAGGTAAAAATTCTTCACATCCTCAGGTAGCATGCAGTTATTTTTCTAGAATCACAAAGCAGCTGAGTGTTAGGGCAGAAAAAGGGCACAAGGCTATGCCCCAAAGCAAATGGGGATACTACTTACCATGTTTCAGATACCCCAAATAGGAAGATTCTGATAATTATCTACAAACTCGATTACTGAGTTCAAGATGGCAACACCAGAGGCCCTGAACTCACCTCCCACAGACACACCAAACCCACAGCTACTTATTGAACAACTTCCTCTGAAAGAAAATCAGAAATTTACTTAGCAACTACTACACACTGGGTGAATGAGAAAAACCGCACATGGAAATGTGTAAGAGGCTGAGACACAATTCACCATAAACCCCATCACTGGTGCAGCAACACACAATCAGGAGAGAACCCGATCTTCCCTCTAAAGAGTGACAGGTTTGAACTCCGTATCTGGCACACCAACTTTTAAGGTCTGCATGTGAGAGGTGAACTCCCCAACATCTAGCTTTGTAAGCCAAAGGGCTTGCTCCACAAGACCCACAAGGCTATAGAAACTGAGAAATAGTTGTCCAAGGGCTCATGCATGCGGGTTTACCAACCCAGGGCCTAGCGCAGAGGCAGTCGACTGAAAAGTACCTAGACTTCCAGTCTTTCTGTGTAAGAGGCTTATTTGCTTATCTGACAGCATCAGCCTGAGTGGCAGTTACCTAATTTAGCACACATCTAGGGGCTGACAAAAATACTCTCTAGAGAATGGGGTGGCTGGCTGTCACCATCTTCATGTTCTCTGCCTTGCTCCAGGTCAGCAGTTATCTCCCAGAAAGAGCTTATGCATCCAACTGATGCAGTGGCTTTTGCACTGACTGCCCAAGGGACACATCCCTTGATAACTTGGCTCTGGTGGCCAAGGGGCTTAGGTTTCCAGGTCTTACAGGACCGCAACAAGGAAACCGTTCTGAATCGGCTATCCCACCATGGTACAGTATAGAGGTAGCACACTGAAAAGCCCAGTCTTTCCATGAAAGACGCCGATGTGTTGATCTCCAAAAACCGTGGCCTAAGGGTCTCTCCTCTGCACAGACTTGGGAGGCCAGCGGGCACCATGTTCGCATGCACTACCCCTCTGCCATGCTCCAGGTCACCAGTGTCTCCGTGAAAGCACCTATGTATATGTATGGCACCCCAGCTATTTTGGCTGTCGCCCAAAGGACACAGTACTCAATAGCCTGGCTCTGGTAGTCAGCAGGGCTTGTGCTTATGGGTTCAATGGGATGGTAAGCCAACAGTTTATGACTGGCTATCCACCCGGGGCGCAGTGTAGAGGGAACAGAGAAAAACAGCCAGTTTATACTCTTTCCCTGAAGGATGTATACAGCTGACCCTTAAACACAGCTTTCAAATGTGCAGGTCCACGTATATAGACTTTTTTCCCCGATACAGTACTGTAAATGTATTTTCTAATTTCTTAAATAAGATTTTTTTTTCTTTAGCTTTATTGTAGGAATACAGTGTATAATACATAAAACACACAAAAATATATGTTAATTGACTGTATGTTTTCAATAAGGCTTCTTCTCAACAGTTTTGGGGAGTCAAGTTATATGTAGATTTTCCACTTTGCAGACAGGCTGGTACTCTTAACCCCCTCATTGTTCAAGGGTCAACTGTATTTACATACTTTAAAAGCTGCTGCCTGAGGGCCCAGCTTCCAATCAGCTTTATCTAGGTGTTGAGAGATCCTCCCCTTTGGAACACTACAAGTCTGGGCAAACCCTGAACCATTGGGAGTTATTAGGAAAAAGAAGCCTGCCTACACAATCACATCAGGTTTGGGAGACAACAAAGAACAAGGGCACGGTAGAACAACAAAGTTCATCTCCTACATTAGACCTTGCCTTTAAGACTGGAAGAGGTGGCTGTTTTACCTAATACACAGAAACCAAGGAAGAAAAAAAGAAGAGAGGAATAATACATTCCAAACAAAAGAACATAAGACCTCAGAAAGACCATAATGAAATGGAGATAAGCGATTTACCTAACAGTTCAAAATAACACTCATAAATATGTTCACTTTGAGCTCAAAAGAGGAATGCATGAACAAAGTGAAAATTTCAACAAAGAGTTGTACAATATAAAAGTAACACATGATGGGGCGCCTGGGTGGCTCAGTCGGTTAAGCATCCGACTTCGGCTCGGGTCATGATCTCACAGTTCATGGGTTCGAGCCCCGCATTGGGCTCTGTGTTGACAGCTCAGAGCTTGGAACCTGTTTCAGATTCTGTGTCTTCCTCTCTCTCTGCCCCTCCCCCACTCGTGCTCTGTCTCCCTCTGTCTCAAAAATAAATAAACATTAAAAAAAAAAATTAGAAAAAAAAAGTAACACATGAAAGTCACAGAGCTGAGGAATACAATGATTGAACCAAAAAATACACTAGTGAGGTTCCACAGCAGACTAAGTGAAGTGCAAGAAGGGACAGTGAGCTCAAAGACAGAGTAGTGGAACTCATTTAATCAGAGCAGCAAAAGGGTGGGGGGTGGAGGGGGGGAGAAAGAAAGAAAGAAAAACAAACATTTAAAAGAGTGAAGATACCTTAAAGGACTTATGAAAGAACACAGAGCAGACTAGTATTAGACAAAAGGGTCCTGGAAGGAGGAGAGAGAGAGAATGCGGAAGAAAAATTACTTGTAGAAATAATGGCTGAAAACTTCTCCAACCTGGAGAAGGAAACACATCATAAATCCAGGAAGTGCAGAGTTCCAAATAAGTTGAATCCAGAGCCCCACCCCAAGACAAATAATTGTCTAAGGAAAAGCAGCATCTTAAAGGTAGCAAGAGAAGAGGCATCTGGGTAGCTCAGTTGGTTAAGCTTCTGACTTTAGCTCAGGTCATGATCTCATCATAGTTCATGGTTCGAGCCCTGTGTTGGGCTCTCTGCTATGAGCACAGAGCCTGCTTCAGATCTTCTGTCCCCCTCTTTCTCTGCCCCTCCCTCGCTGGGGCAAAAAAAAAAAAAAGGCACCAAGAGAAAAATAAGTTTTTAACATACAAGGGAACCCTACAAAAGACTATGAGATTTTCTCAGCAAAAACTTTGCAGGCCAGAATGGAATGGCACAATACATTCTAAGTGCTGAAAGAAAGAAACTGCCTACCAAGAATACTCTATCCAGCAAAACTATTCTTCAGAATTTAAGTACAGATAAAAAATTTTCCTGACTAGCAAAAGCTATAGGCATTCACCACCACTACACTGGCCTTACAAGAAACGTTAAAGAGATGGGGTGCCTGGGTGGCTCAATCGGTTGAGTGTCTGACTTCAGCTCAGGTCACGATCTCACAGTTTGTGAGTTCAAGCCCCGTTGTCGGGCTCTTTGCTGACAGCTTGGAGTCTAGAGCCTGTTTCAGATTCTGTGTCTCCCTCTCTCTCTGCCCCTCTCCCACTCATGCTCTGTCTCTCTCTCAAAAATAAAAATTAAAAAAAAAAAAAAAGAAATTTTAAAGAGACATCCTTAAGTGGAAAAGCCACAATGAGAAGTATGAAAGAAAAAAAAATCTCACTGGTATCAGCAACCATATACTGAAGATAGTACATCAACTACTTATAAAGCTAGTATGAAGGTTAAAAAGCAACAGTAGTAAAAGCAACTATATCCACAATAACTAAAGGATAAACAAAATATTGTGAAATATGACATAAAAAATATACAACGTGGGGGGGGATTGTAAAGATGCAATGCTTGTAGAATGTGTTTGAATTTAAGTAACCATCAACTTAAAACAGACTGCTAGATACAGAGGGTATTAAACAGGAGCCTCACGATAACTACAAACTAAAAACCTTTGATATACAAAAATAAAGAGATAGAAATCCAAACATAATACTGAAGAAAATCATCATATCACAAGAACAGGAAAGGAACAAAACAGAATTATAAAACAATCAGAAAAGTGTGGCAATAAGTAAATACCTATCAACAATTACTGTAGAGGAACTTGGGAAGATGGTGGAGTAGGAGGACCCTGAGCTCACCCTTCCCACGTTTACAACTAGGTATCACCCACATGTAAGTCATTAAACTAGAGAGCAATTCAAAGGCTGGCAGAACAAACTTCAAAACAAAAAAAGCTGCATCTGAAAGGTTAGGAAGGTGAGATAGGCAAGGGATGTGACAAGGGAGAGGGAGCTGTGGGCCCTTGTACCAGGGAGCTCATATGGGAAGACAAATCCTCTTAACATTTATTTGGCTTTGAAAACCAGAGGCCGAATTGTGTGAGTTTGTATAACCAGCAGGACTTGGAGCCTGGAGCTTTAGAAATCAGCTGACTCAGCATTGGGGGAGTGGAGACACAAAGGCAAGTGACAGCTGGGTTCCTGCCCTTAAAGACACAGCAGCTAGCACAGACAGGCAATATAAAGACAGCAGTTTATGCAACACCAGGGGAAAATGGGAGACATATCTGTTCATAGGGATTTCAGAGTGCGTTGGGGGACTTCTCCGAAAACGAGGGAACTGGCAGGTGCCATTTCTCTCCCCCCTTCCCCAGCATAAACACAGGGCCATCTGTGGGAGGCAGGGCTGCACAGACACTAGCTACACACTAGCTACCTAACCTGTAAGCGGTGCACCATGCCAATGAGTTCTCCTGAGGACTTGCCCACTCTAAGCCTGCTACCGTTGGCCCTGTGCTCAGGGCAAAGTTTGTAAAACTTGTTCATGCCCCACCAAGCTGCTGGGTTCACAGCTGCCACCATACACCCCACCCAGTTCTGCACACCCCCAGCTATTGTCACTCACTAGGTGAGTGTCACTCACCAGGCTGCACCCAGCCATCCTCAGGCACTGCGCCCAGCTTCAGGCCCCAAGCTCACCAGGCATGCAGGTCCTAGCTGCCACAGTGCTTGTACAAATCTGGCATAAAACTAGTGGCCCAGCGCAAACTTTGGTAACACCACAGTGACCCCAGCACAGCCCACAACAGGCAGAGAGTCAGTGTAGATGACTGTACTATAAGGAAAAGTGATGAAGACACAACTGCAGGAGA